TGATTAATAATGAGTGAAGCTGGTGATGCTGTTTGTGGAGTTGTTTAATCATTCTCTGCTGAGATCACGAAATATTTAATGTCTTCTTTTATTTCAGATGATTTTAATATCTAAGACTGTGGCTGGAAGTCACTTGTAGTTCTTGTTTAAGTTAACTATTAGTTTTAAAACTTAAATGGTTTAAGGTAATCGGTTATCTAAAACGGTTAGAGTTACCCTAACTTGTTGGGTTTTACAGTGTGTAGAATAACTGCAGCACAGCTTAAGATAAGAGCAGTTTAATTACATTCCCAATAATTTAAATGCAAATATAGTGAACTGTTGTACTTTATGGTATCAAAGCTAAAGATCATGGCAGCAAGTAAAGGTCATGTCAATACAGCACAACTACAGATCAGGCCAGAAAATACAACCACAGCTGCAGTTACTGCAACTTTACAAACTGAACTCAACAGCAGCTGATAGCAGCTAGAACTGCATTTACAACAGCACTTTCTGGAATATATGTCAGTTATTGTTTACGTTTAAACATAAACATTTCAAGCAGAATGTTCAGATATTTGTTATATGTGACCCTGGACCACAAAACCAGTCATAAGGGATATTTAATCTGAATAAATAAGCTTTCCATTGATGTATGGTTTGTTAGGATCGGACAATATTTAGCTGAGATACAACTATTTGATAATCTGGAATCTGAGGATGCAAAAAAAAGTTGGACAGAAACTAAAAAACACTGGTCTGGTGTTTGACTGATATTACCAATATTCAAAATTGAAAGAACTTATGGATCAGAGAAGTGACATAAAAACACAAAGAGTCCAAAACATGATCTTTTAAACTTTTGCACTGAGTCACAAACACAGGCAAGTTAACTGACTAACTCTCTCAAATCAGGAAGAGCTGACAGAAACATGGAAAGCCGCAGTAGAGAAGTACAAATGTACAGAACCGACTGTTTCTCTGAACGCTGAAGATTTCTCAGTTTATGTAAGTTATGTTGTATTTCAGGGCTGATATGCAAAGTTAAACTAGACTGCAGGTGTTTAAGATGCAGGTTTTGCACTGAAATAAGATGCTCAGCTGTTTACTGAATTCACCCCTTCATCTCAAGTCATAATTATGACATACAAAATTGTAATTATGAGACTAAAATTGGCATGAAAGGCAGAAATTGTGATAAAAAACAAACATTATGACATAAAATTTGAAATTGTGAAATAATAAACCATAATAATGAGATAAAAATGTGAAACTATATGTATGTATGTTATAATTGTGGTATAAAATGTTAAATGACATAAACCATCATCATCTAAACCTCTGTAATCCTCAGTAAGAACTGTTATGACAGAAATAAAGTCAGTCTGATTAATAATGAGTGAAGCTGGTGATGCTGTTTGTGGAGTTGTTTAATCATTCTCTGCTGAGATCACGAAATATTTAATGTCTTCTTTTATTTCAGATGATTTTAATATCTAAGACTGTGGCTGGAAGTCACTTGTAGTTCTTGTTTAAGTTAACTATTAGTTTTAAAACTTAAATGGTTTAAGGTAATCGGTTATCTAAAACGGTTAGAGTTACCCTAACTTGTTGGGTTTTACAGTGTGTAGAATAACTGCAGCACAGCTTAAGATAAGAGCAGTTTAATTACATTCCCAATAATTTAAATGCAAATATAGTGAACTGTTGTACTTTATGGTATCAAAGCTAAAGATCATGGCAGCAAGTAAAGGTCATGTCAATACAGCACAACTACAGATCAGGCCAGAAAATACAACCACAGCTGCAGTTACTGCAACTTTACAAACTGAACTCAACAGCAGCTGATAGCAGCTAGAACTGCATTTACAACAGCACTTTCTGGAATATATGTCAGTTATTGTTTACGTTTAAACATAAACATTTCAAGCAGAATGTTCAGATATTTGTTATATGTATTAGTCTCTTATCTTCCTCTTCTTTCACTTTTTTTTTTCACTTTTAGCTCGGCTCATATGAAGGACACTCGCGCTCACTCTAGTGGCGCAGAGCAGCAGCACATTCTCATCTGAGACTCACAGCAGCTGTGCTGCTACAGTTTTTTTCAACTGCTTACACACATTTTCAAAACTTTGCCTCTTTTTTTTCAAAACTTTACACACAAATCCAAGAATTGCACACACAAAATGCAAAATGCCTCACATCTCTTGCAAAATGAAGCACTGCATTCAAAATATTAGAAACATATCTCAAAAGCAAACATTTGCAAACACCTTTAGAAATGTAATGTTCCCAGAGTGTTCTCAGAATGTCCCAGCTGGTGTCAATGATGTTCCCAGAACATTCAAAGATGTGAGATGGTCAAGAGCTCAATTAAAGCAAACACTGATCACCTTAATGGTGACTAAACATTCAACATCTAAACCTCTGTTCTAAATAATAACTTTTTTAGACAAATTGGTTAGTAATAAGTGAAGCTGGTGATGCTGTTTGTGGAGTTGTTTAATCCTCCTCTGCTTGAGATCTTGAGAGATTTGAAAGAGAGCGTTCATCTAAGGCTGTGACTGGAAGTCAGTTGTGTTTCTGTTCGTCTCTTTCCTTCAGTAATTCTGCTTGTTAACATTCGCATTAAGTTCAACTCTGCTTCAGAGTACAAGTAAAAGTACTGAACAATAATATGACTCAAGTAAGAGTGAAAAAGTAGTTTGCTGAAAAACTACTCAAGTTACTGCATTACAAAGTACTTTAGTATTATTTTTCTATTTTTACCCAAAATGAGACGATGTGAGCATTATGGAGAAGGATTAACCCTAATCCTAACACCAATGTACTGTAATGTCTGTCCCAGGAAATCTCTTATATGGACAAATAAATCAGATATACCTACAGCTGAATAACATGCAGATAGAGACACTTTGACTGATGAAACGTGGAAGACAATAAACACACAATTGCAATGCTAATTGACATAGCTTGTATCACAGTATAGAATTTTATAACAAAATATATTTTCTGTCTCGCTGTGATAAGAAGCAACATGGAACCACAGAAGCTAACTGTTTCAAACACGACTGATGTTATATAGTGATTTTGGAGCAAAACATGATATTAGTCTCATAAATTGTCATGTTTGACGCTACGTTAAGCAAACATACTACCTGTCCCTGTTGCCAGGAGCAACTGTTTTATAACTAATTTTGAAAAGTACATTCACGTATAAGATTGTGTGGTTGTTTTTAAGAAGGGCAAAAGCAAAGAAGGGTAAGTGGAGGTTTAAAAGAAAAGAAAGGGTCTAAAACAGTGTGAATAGAAAGGTGCCAGTAAAAAATAATGTGGGGTATGGGTAAGGTTGGGCATCGTTTGAATTTTAATGATTCCAATTCTTGTCAATTCCTAATTTCGATTCCAATAAGGTAATCCGATGACCCCTTTAACGCAGTCTCACACGAGAATGTGCTGCTGCTCTGTGCCACTAGAGGGAGCGTGAGTGTCCTTCATATGAGCCGAGTTAAAAACGAAAGTGAAAGTAGAGGAAGATAAGCGACTAATAAATATAACAAATATCTGAACATTGTGCTTGAAATTTGTATGTTTAAAAGTAAACAATAACTAACAAATATTCGAGAAAATGTATTAAAAAGAGAATTACAGCTGCTTGCAACTGCTGTTCAGTTCAGTTTGAAAAGTTGTGGTTGTATTGTCTGGGCTGATCTGCAGTTGTGCTGTATTACGATGAATTTTATTTGAAATGAACTTTAGCTATAATAAATACCCTAGAAGTCCAGCAGGTCACTATATCTGTATTCTACAGCAGACTATGTGCATACTTAACAATATATGATTGTATTTCATGTAGCTGTACTAAAGTGTACTACTTAAATGGATAGTCCACCCAAAAATGAAAATGCATCATTTGCTCACCCTCATGGAACTACATCCTTCTCTGTCTGCAGGTCTATCTATTTCGGATCTTTACTTTTTACTCAATCAGTCTCTCAAAACTCTTATAAAGGATGAAGACACTGCCTCTAAAATGAGTTTCCATCACTTGTATAAAAAAGGGCACAGGCCACCAAATGTTTACCATTAATGACAATAACAGTCAATCACCATCAACTGAAGTAACATGTTTAGACTGAAAGAAAGAGACAAGACAAGCAGAAACATAAGAACTACAAGTGACTTCCAGCCACAGCCTTAGATTAATTCAGCTGAAATAAAAGAAGACATTAAATCTTTGAAGATCTCGGCAGATGATGATTAAACAACTCCACAAAGAGCATCACCAGCTTCACACTAACCAGCTTGACTTTATTTCTGTCAGATGTCTACAGAAGATCTTATTGAGAATTAACAGAGCTTTAGATGTTGATGTTTTATGTTAATTGACTTTTTATGGCACAACTATACCATACAGACATTAATTTCAACTTTTATCTCATACTGTAATTATGATTTAATATCTCACAATTTCAACTTTTTATGTCAATTTTTTTAATCATAATTTCAACCTTGCATGTCAATTGCAATCTCATAATTACAATTTAGTATGTCATAATTTTGACTTTTGTCATAATTTTGACTTTTTATGTCATAACTATGACATTTTATCTCACATTTGTGTTAATGGCTGTATAAAAGGCAGCTCCAGTAATTTATTCCAGCATTCATCTAGACACATAAATTTGTGCCTTAAACCAACAAATGCAAAGCAAACTAAACTGAGATTTCATCTGAAACTGATGCTTAAGATTATAGCATGATTGATTCAACATTCAATATCAGACAGAGTGTTATAAACACAGGTGCAAAGTGACTCAGGAAAACGTAAAAAAAAAAAAACCCAGATTATGAGAACAGAGACCTCTGCTGGTCACACTTTATGCCTTACAGTGACAAATCTTTCACTCATAGTATAAAAGTGTGCTTAATTCATTTGCAAATCTCATACTATCAATACTACTCCTGTAATTTATTTTCCATTATAATTTTTCTCTGTCTGCATGTTTGTTTAGTAACATGAATGCCCCTGCAGTTTATTAATTAAACAATCAGTGAAATTACAGACACATGTACTGATTGTGCAGCCACAACCTTAAATAGCATATATTATAAACCATATGCACATTAATGGAGTCCAAATTTGGACTCACACCAGATCTGAAAGCACTTCTCAGCCTCCTCCACTTTCTTCTTCAGCTCCTCTTTATTCTCATCAGTGTTTTTGTAGTAAACTCTGACCAGCTCTTCATTAAACCTCTGTGGCAGGACACTGGAGAGCTGACAGAACAAGACAAATTAGTTTCTATTGTGAGGAGTAAAGGAGCTACACTACAAACTTCAATCCAGCATTCAAACAATAGCCTACATAGATTTAAGCTCCAGCATTGTTTACAAAAAGTACTTTAGTATGAAATGTATCACACCTATTTGATCAAATTATGATTTATACTTCTAATCTGAAATAATCATTTGAAATATAGTGGTTTAAATGCGACGAGTACCTGATAATCGTTAATGGCAGAGGCTTCATTGGGCTTCCTCTTGCTGTAGAAATAGACCTTTTCAATGGGGTTTTTGTCCTTCATGCCGTAATCCAGATCAACCACCTGAATAAGAAGAGATGAAATGATTTATGAGGACATGAGAAAAGATGAAGGGGTGAATTCAGTAAACAGCTGAGCATCTTATTTCAGTGCAAAACCTGCATCTTAAACACCTGCAGTCTAGTTTAACTTTGCATATCAGCCCTGAAATACAACATAACTTACATAAACTGAGAAATCTTCAGCGTTCAGAGAAACAGTCGGTTCTGTACATTTGTACTTCTCTACTGCGGCTTTCCATGTTTCTGTCAGCTCTTCCTGATTTGAGAGAGTTAGTCAGTTAACTTGCCTGTGTTTGTGACTCAGTGCAAAAGATGTAGTTTAAAAGATCATGTTTATAATGATATGTGGACTGACTCCTTGTGATTTTATGTTCATTGTCTGATCTGTAAGTTATTTAAATACATGGTAAGGCATGTTTTTTGAATATTGGTAATATCAGTCAAACACTAAACCAGTGCTTTTCAGTTACCTTTGATTTGTTGTTCTCAGTCAGTCGAGCTTCTCCAACAAACTTTGGCAGTTTTCTTCTGACGATCTTGTTCAAGATGTCTCTGGATTTCTTCAGATTGTCAGCAGTGGAGGACAAGATCTGCTCAAAGATCTCATCTGACAGAAGAACAGATGAGTCATTATAATAACCAAAATAGGCTTTTCTGAGAATCTCTTATATGCAAATCATTACAACAACAATAATAATAATGAATAAATATATATTTTTTTGATGAATAACTACAAATCTCAAAAAGAAAATATCCCATCTGATTCACAGAATCCACTCCACAGCTCAGTTACCCACAATCCCCTCTGATGGGCTCTTGTACTCTTCCATCAGTTTCCAAGAGCATGAAGAGTCTCAGTGACGCTAGTCAAAATCAGAGAAGAGGAGATTCACTCCGATTACACATCTGTCGATCACAGCGTCCCGCCAAAAAAATATTACCCCTGGATTTTTTTTTT